TACCTTAAACCGCATGTTGTTTCGACCCATATGAGCTCTACCGCTAAGATTTCACAGATACTCCACAAAGCAACCAGTGCCTCTTATTGTGCTCCGTTCTTGCCCTCGGCTGATCGCTGATCCTCTCCATTCGTCTACGAACTGAAATATTTGAAACAATTTTGATATTAACTAGCTAGAGGACTAGCTGAGAGGCAGGCGAAACAATGGGCCCGCATGATGTGGTGGCAGACGCTTTAGCCCTGGCAAGGATAATAGCGCGTTCGATCTCCACCGCAGATATCTGCGGTCCAGAGCTTTAAAAATATTCCAGCATTGTTGTGGTTGAATTCTGCTATTGCTCACTTTCAAAGCATACTGGGCAGTGCTTGAACAAAAAACGTTGATCCCTCCGTTTGGCATAATCGGAGCGGTATACATGGATCTCTTTCAACTACTTCGAAAGACTCAGTTTTAGCCCAGTCTTTAAGTAAATACGAACTAACTAAGCCAGGAATTCAAATAAAGTGTTGTAATCCCACACCATTTTTTTAGTTGCATACATTCTCTAATCAATGCATATTTTCTGACGCGAAAGTTTGAAAGCAGTGGACTGTACACTGCTATCAAACCTTTGAGTAAGGAACTCGTAAACAAACTTCCAACTTTCGTTTCTATTTGGAAGAGGGTAATGGATTACTGGAATGACAAAAATCATGGAGTACTATGAAGTTTTTTTTGACAAACTACGAAGATTCAACGTATATTATCGCTCATTGTTTTCTGACATCGTCTCTTAACATTGCTCTATATGGCTTTGCAATGATTTACGTTTTTGTTTTCTGTCCGAAAAACAAATGGCTTCTTGTTGCGTATGAACACCCTCAGAGTGATTGAAGAAGTCAGAGCTCTCACTTGATGACGTTGATGACGTTAACCTTCGCTCTCGATGAGTTGTTGCCTGCTAATGTTCATCGTCTATGTTGCTACATCATTAGTGACAACATGACACTTCATCGGATCATATATCTATAGGCCTCGTAGCACTATAAAAAAATTTGTCAGCCATGATCTGGAGAGCGGAAATCACCATCAACCCAGCCAACCATTTATGAATCTGGACTGGGGTTTGAGCTTTTCAAATATCTCAGCATCATTATGATTGTATTTTACTCCATGTATAATTTTAAAGTTAAGGATTTGCCCTCTTCTGTCGAATATTGGTTTATTCTATTTGTTTATCTTCAGATGATACATTTGTAGATTTATCGATTTCCCGTCACGTCACTCAACGTACTATCAAATGAATCCACTTGTTGATATTCTTGACTTTTCTCAATGGTGGGAAAATGTTTCAGTGCATGTCTTCGAGTTTCCTGCTAGCTGCTCGACAAATTTGTTATGTATCTGCTTTAACCCATTCCGCCTCGGGTACCGTATTGTGTGAGTGGCCCATCGGGATATGCACAATTTTTCGTCGGCTACCGACTTTTTGGTCTTTTGACAATAAAAAAACCCTCAATAAATGGAGGACTTGAGGAATTTTGAATATGGAAGGGTTGCAGAAGACTTTTTGAGTTATCGTTCTATGAGTATTACTGATATGTGTGCTATTATTTGCTATGTTTCCATGGTTCATATGACAAATGTATTACTGTCGGACTTTGGAGGTATTTTGTGGTGTATGCTGAGTTTATTTCGATATTATAGTCTTATAAATTGATCTTGTTGAACTGATGCGAGGTTGGTATAGGCCTTCGTTGTCGTTTTTGTTGTTGTTGTTGTCGTCGCTGTTTATGGTTTTGTTGGTCGAAGGCTCTGACGTTTCGACGATTTCGCCTTCCTCAGAGCCTTGCTATTACGAGTGGGACTATCCCTTACAAGTCGGAAATGTTTTGCTGGTACATCTCTTAATCCCACTCGTAACAACACGGGTGTGAGGAAGACGAAATCGCCGAAACTTCAGCCACCGACCACCACCACCAACAGTAACGACAACAGCAACAAAAACGACAACGAAGACCTATACCAACTTCGCATCAGCTCAATAAGATCAGTTTGTAAAAGGATAAAGGATAAAGCTCTCGGCGTTTTTCAATCCCATTAAGGATGTGCCATGTATTTGACTTCATCAAGCATCGTTTGGAGGTGATTTAATGTATATCTGGCCTTTACAATGACTCGCGGTGGCTTACCGATGAATCGAGCGAGAACTGCTATCCTCCCAGACAAGTCTCGTACCAATTTGCTGATCCCGGAGTGATGAAAGGCTTGGTGAGCCTGGGGTGTGGGGATCGATTCCACGTGTGTTGCAGGGCGCCTTCGACCACTGTGCCACATGCGCCTAGATCAGTTTGTAAAATCATATAAATAAATATTTCAGCTACTTATGCCGGAGTTTATAAAAAGTCGGTCTTTTTAAATAAAAGTCAGTTGTTAGCTCGTTTAGCCAGTAACTTTAAGATCCTTTAATCTTTTACGATCTGTATTCGCGAGGCTCTCACCTTCAGATTCAAACTTTTCCGGCTAAGAAGAACTAGGTCATTGATGCAAAACTCCCTTGAAATGTGAGAATAACTTTACAAGCAACCACTGCGGAACTGCGTCCATTTTTCAGCTCAGGCAAAAAGAAAAACTGATTACTATGTTGACTGAGGTTTCAGAAAAGATGACAAGGATAATTCTGAAACTGAAGAGATCAAATAACTAGCAAACGATGACGAGGAATAGATTCCAAAGTTTTAAATGAAAGACTAGGTGCAAAGTCTGAAATTGCTATATTGTAAAATTGAAGTTCCCATTTTAGATAAGCTAATTGACATTTTCGGGTAATCATATTTCCTTGCGACAAATTGTGTCCTGCCTGGACAGGCATAATTTAAAATTGTACCGACCAGTTAATCATCTTTGCTTTACTTCAGCTATATTGCAATGGGATGTAGGGCAGCAAGAATCGCAGTGATGGCCATACAGTGAAAGTGTAACCCCTAGTTGGAGCACAAACATTGCCAACAAGGCTTCTCTTACTCCAGTTTTGGCAATCTGGTGCTATGTTTGCCTGAAGAATCCTTATTCCGGAGCATCAAGCCACGTTAATACCTAAGGAGAAGGCCTGAGACCAGCCAAATAGAGCTATCACAGAATTCCTGAGGGAATTAGGCAGCCGGCATCTAACAATATTAGTAAAAAAATTCGTAATTTGGTTGTAGAACACAAAGGCAAAGTGGAAACGCTTCGGAAATGACAGATATGAGGCAAGAAATTGAACGCAAGAATTGGCGGAATCGGCAGAACATGTGAAGTCAGGCTATATAACTTAATTGTTTAATCGATTAGAGCTAAGGATAGCTTCCATTTATGGAACTAGCAGTATTAAAAGCCTGCTTTTTCCCTTAGCTTGGATTTCATTGAACTATGGAATTCTAAGAGCCCGCGTAGCGCAGTGGTTAGAAGCGCAATGCAAAGCACATGGGATCATCCCCGCACCCCAGGCTCACCAAGCTCTCCTCATCACACCTTGGCCGGAAAATTGGTACCAGACTTTTCTGAGAGGATAGAAAGCACCGAGTGGATACATCGATAGACCACCGTGAGTCATTATATAGGTCAGATATACATTCAATCACCGCTAATGATGCTTAACAAAGTCGAGCGCATGCAGTGTACCTGAGAGAATGATTAACGTCAAGACTTCTATTTTCTTTTGTGGAATTCTAGATGCAACAAATCTTTAAAATAGCTTGGAGCAATTGTGTGTGCCTTCACTTCATGCCTTAAAAGAGGTTATCTAGTGCTGAAACTAGTAGCAGTCAGGGAGGAAGCGACCTGGGAAGGCTGAGTTCAGGTTTGCTAGTCGTAGTTGTTGAATTTCTCTACTTACTTGAGAGATCTTGTGATTGCAAGAACCGGTCCTTTTACACTTATTAGTGGTGTACGTAAAGAACATCAGCACGTTCTACAAGTTTTTTTGGCATTTATTCTCTGAAAACGATGATATCCCTAGGATTCAGGAAGATGTATAAATCCGGTTAACCTTTACTCTAGCTAACAATTCCCATAGACTTTTGTTGATGACTAACGGTTTCGGACACGTCATTGTTTCAGCTCAGCCTAAACGCGGCACCTTACACCATGTGTTGTCATGTAAAGGCATTTTCCGGCGCATTTCTCAATTCGATCGAGCAGTTTGTTGCCTTTCGCCTTCTGCTTGCTCCAAATGCTCCTTCGATAATGCAGCATTCTTTGAACCAATACGATAAAATTCCTCGAGTTTGCTGTTTCCTCAATCTTTGATTTAAAGTTTTTGAGCACTATTTGTTTTATTTTATATGACTTGTTATCATATCTACTATGCGGATCCCAGCATTTCTCGTATTCGATTCGTTCTCCTCGCATTCATTGTACACAATGTTCTACGAAAATTTCGTGTTGTTTCGGCTACCCTTTAAGGATTTCATCGCCCTTTTATGAATGTCGTAGAATACTGATCGAGTCGACTCTCCTTGCAATCTTGGAAATAGCCTGGTTAGTGCACTCCCACATGGATTGATGGAGTGTGTTGAGGAGCAGGTCGAACTGGTGCTTTTGTTTCATGGTCGACAGCATCACTAACCACTGCGCTATATCCAATCGATAAGAATCTTTCAGGACATCCCACTCCTAAATTCACCTTCACCTCATAGCAGTAATTGTTCAGCTTTTAAACCATAACTTTTTGTCTGCATTCGACGACTCGGAACAGACTATCTGCATACCCCACGCTGTGTATTGAAATCAATTTGAACCATGCTGTGATCACTTTAATCTCACATTAAGATGCCACAGCGTTTTCCTTTCTTGGAAAAAAAACCGCCACCAAAACGTGCGTTCAAAATTCATTTATTTTGTTACTTCCAGTATTTGCTGTCTTTCTCCAATGACATTCATCATCTGCTGATGGTAAGCAGGGTTTGAATAGGCACAGTAACTTTATGATACTCTTTAGCGGTTCATGCATTTCACGATTTCCGTTTTGTTCCTACTATAGGGACTCTGAAGAATTTGTTCATTGGTACTTCGTTCTTCGTCGCGTTGAAATCTTGTGCTCCGTAATTGTAGTTACTTATTTTCAGACTCTGTAAACAAAACGAATAGTTGGATATTAGGAAGAATATTATTGTGTAAATTTGTACGAGATAAAAAACACATTGGCAAATAAGAAATTCATCGCCAGCAACACTTTGTAACGGACTTGTCTCTTGGAGATATGAGTTCCAGAAAATAACAACGAACCTTGTCGACTTTTCCTCCATTTGGTCTTTTAATTTTATTCTTTTAATGTCCAGAGGCAAAAGATGGAATAATACAATAATTAGAATGTGCATATCCTGTTTTGAAATGCGTCGAAATGCAGCAACATGGGAACTCTTGTGAGGCATACGTGATTCACACAGGCTTAGAATCAAGCTTGCCATTTGCTGGAGCAGTTTTAAACCTGTAGCAAAGCTCTAAACAATAATTTTAGTGGCAAATTTTTGAGCATGTCGATTCTTCTAACCAAAGGCTCTGATGGCTTGTTCAGTTCATATCTCGCAGTTGCATGCTGAAAATTTGTGCGAGGCCTTGATCCTTAATCCGTCAGTCGAGCTCTTGTTGCGAGGGAAACGGATAGAATATGATGTCGATTTTGATCTAGTTGATCCCTTCTGCTTATCCGTACAGCTGAAATATTTCAGCAATTGTAATCTCAGTTCTTACTCTTCTAGAATGGAATTTTTTGTCTCTTTGTTATCTGAAGTTGTCCATACGCCAGCAAACCAGCCAAGATGTCTAGGTGACCATAATTTTCTAGAGAGTTTGAAGTGGTCTCTAAACTGGCTAGCTGGGACAACTGATGGTTTGGTGGAGAATGAGCCTTGAGCGTTATCTTTTATAGTTTGCACTTCAGCGATATTTTTGGTTAACAATTTGAGACGGTATTCATTGCAGAAGCGGAAACGCTCAACTTGAAAATTATCAGTGTTGTTGGAGCAGTAGTTTATTACTTCTTAAAGAGAAGCACTTGTTAGTGTTACTATAGGTTATTTGCTTGCCAATCATAAAAAATTGATAAAATCGCTTGCAAAAACGAAGGATTTATTTTCAGTTTCCGAGTTACGAAAATAACCTTAGAGCCGAATGTGTCACGTCATCTTTAAAAGCTTTACTTGTGATATGTTTATGCTGTAAGTGTAAATGGACTTAAGCCCTTTATACGCTTTCACTGCGTTATCCACAATAAGAACCGAGTAGTTAAACAACTTAGCTGGTGGTGTACACAGAAAGTTAAGTGGTGTCCCATTCAGAATAAGGAAAAATTCTATCTCTTTTCCATAACTTTATTATCATACAATTTCGGAGCTAATAACGTAAAAAAACTGTTGAGAGCTTGCAATTTAGTGAATTTAGTATCTCTAGGAGCTATATTTTCACTATGGCGAATACTGATCATCGAACCCATACTGTAGTACTCAACAGTGGACCGGCTCCTGTGGATTTATTATCTAAACCACGAATGCATCCTATTCTTCGTTTTATAAACTAAGTTAAGAGCAATGTTGTTAGGTATTGTAACCGCCTAATAGGAAATTTGATTAAAAGTAGGTCTTCCACTACTTTGCAAAGTTGCTAACTTATTGTAATGGTGACAATAGTGCGCCCCGTACAAGTGCATTAGTACTGTGGATCCTGGGGTGAAAGGTGGGAACGGTTCTTAAGGTTGTGGAAATATTTGTTGCTCATTAGCTACATTGAATGGCAAGGGATTGAGCAAAACCACATTCAATTCCTTCCTGCTGACATCACCATGCCTCAATTAGCATACGAATGTTGTGAAGGGTGTTTTAATAATATGCGTGTACCCTCTATCTCCTTAATCGTATAGAATCTCACGTTTCGGCTTTCCTCTTGAAACAAAGTATTATCGTTATTATCTTAACAGAAATGTTGCTAATGTTCTTAAATAGTTTAAAAATATTGCCCTTCATGAAGCGTAAATTTTTCATGGTTTAACTTAACCAGAGTGGATTCTTATAGGAAATGACAAAAGTACAGATGGGCACTCTATATTTTAAAGTAAAGCTAGTATGAAAAGATTTTTAGTTCAACTTATTTGCCCATTAAATGACCACCGTCGTGTTTTAATGGGAAAAGGACAAACGACGTTTTGTAGTTCCGGTTCAACCATACAACCCATTTTTATGACATCTCCTTTCGATAGTTCTTCATCTCGTGACTGAAAGAGAGCCTTTAGAAAGGAGTCCATCTGAGCATTTTCTGGTTTTCTGGCTAGGTTGGAGAAACAATGGTGGCGTTGGTTGCGGTCAGGTCGTGAACCTGGAAGAGTAATATGGTCCATTGTCCATCAAACAGCGGTGTCGTCATCCTCAATCTCTTGATCCTGAGAAGATCCATTAATATCCATATATGGAGCGTTACTGATCTCTGCCATATATGAAGGTGGCACTTGTTCTCATAAAGTGCGATAAAATTGAATCAATGACATCGTTTTTTCATACCTTTGCAATACAGAAGTGCAGCAATTTGGTAATAGTCGATAGAACTTTAAATTGTTCAGCACATACAACGAGGTTGAATTGATCGACGTGTGTTGTTGTCCATTGCAGTGCGTCAAACGAAATCCTCGCAGGGTAATCCAGTCGTGGGAGAGATCCTTGTTCATCGTTACGTTAATGAATTTCTTCCGCTGCTGTAGTTCTAAGCGTTTGCGATTTTTTTTGAAAACTCCGCTTAGAATAGACTGGTAGAGACGTTCCACCAGTTCAAAATATGGAGAGCTTAAATGAAGTTTGTAGTTAAAAACTCCTATTACAGAGGGGAGAGAGAGGGGGGGGGGAGAGAGAGAAAGAGTCGGTTTTGGATCCAATGATTAGGAAACGTGAAGTGGAACCAAATGTGGGAAACGTCGATTATATAAACAGACTTTAAATGGTGAAGTACGGCTAATATACGTTAGAAACCCAATCAGCAAACGGCTTTGGAAACGTCAAAAATTTGTGCCTAAATCATGACGGGCCTTACCTTATTCCATCGTTTGATAGAAGATGTCAGCGATAGCGTTTGAAATAATGAGTTTTCAATACTGGCTTTCTATCCACTAATTAAGTACCGTCTTTCAGTAACAAGGGGGTCGTTAAGCTTGTCGTAAGGAAACTTCAATGAAATCGGGAAAATGAAACGTTTTGGATGAAACTTGTCTTAGTAACTCCCACGTCCGACTTTCTATTAGCCTCGGCATTGATTGAGTAATTCTTTCTACTTCTGTTCAGCAAACACGAGGTGTTATTTTATTTCTTTATTTACGTACAAGCTGACGTTTCGGCGGATTTCGCCTTCCTCAGAGCCTGGAAAGGTCAAGTTGACTATAATCTACACGGTCAAACACCTCCATGACCAAACAGAGAAAATGCTGAACCAAAATTTCAACCACATTGAACACAGAGTCTTTGCACACTCACCGCTTTCTATGAGTCTTCCACTAAATGTGTCACGTGGAGACCAACCGCACAGAGTTCACACGGAATCGTATTGTGCCCATCTCATCAAAGTAACAGGCTTATATACTGCCCATATCACGCGTGATAATGAGGCATTCCTCCCTGTGGTTCATTTTCGGATTCTTGGAATTAATCCAGTATGCCCCTATAGTTTTGCATTGCAACCTCTGCTTCAAAATCTTCTCCGTTATCTCTCTGCGTCCTATGCGTGCCTAGTGGAGTATTTGGTTTACGTTTGCCGACTAGTTGTTCTTTTATACGGATGCAGAGTGGTCTACCCGTTTCGCCAACGCATTCGTCCCTGCACGTTTTACAAGAGATCAGATAGACTGTACTCGAACTCATGCAGTCACCGTCTCCACCATTTGGACAAATTATGCAATTTTGCGTTGCACATGGGTGGTCGTATAGGCGGTTACGAACTAGCTGGCGCCTTAGATTACTCGGTGGCATTTCAATTATCGTTACCGAATTCTCTAGACCGGCCCTTCTTAAACAGAGTTTTATAGCTGCACTTACTTCATTTGAAATGAAGGGCAGTATAAACGAGACCTTATTGTCGCTAGAGTTATCGTTGGGGTACCTATGGTTTCCTCTACACCTATCCCGAGCTACAGTTTCGTAGCCATTAAGAATGGCTATTTGCCGCGCCAAGTTCCTGAACTCATCTCTCTGCTCTCTTCCCGTGCACACGTTGGTTGCTGTTCGAAACATGATTCTTACAAGCACCCTTTTCGTGTGAAAGAGGTGAAAAGAGAGGTAATAAACCAAGATGTTTTTAGTACTTAGCTTTCGACACCATTTCGTAATGTAGCCGTTTTCTGATAGGCTAATTTGCACGTTCAGAAATGGAAGCCAGTTTTCTTTTCGTTTCTCTCGGGTGAATTTAATATACTCTGACTGTTCGTTCAACAATTCGAAACATCTGTCGATTTCTACTTGCATTGAACAAATGACCAAGCAGTCATCTATATATCTACAGTAAAGTAACGGACCGAAGTCGATTACTGGCGCTTCCACCTTAGACATAAATGCAATGGCAAGGCTTGGTGCCAGTCGTTGTCCGATTGCCAGCCCTCTCATTTGTGCGTAATACCTCCCGGACCATTTGAAGATTGAGCAGTTTAGGCACTCCTTTAAGAGTGTCATCAACTGCTGAATCGAGAAGCCGTATATGTTTATTGCTCCTTCTTGTTGTATAAGGAGCTCGTTTATGGCTTGCATAGTGGAGTCATTCGACACGTTCGTATAGAGGGCAGTGACGTCGAAGGACTTCACCAGGTACGCGCTGTTGAGTCGCACGTTACGTAGACGATCGAGGAACATTTGGGTGTTCGTCAGATGAGCTGTAATGTACTTCAACAACTGAGTAAGTAT